GTATTAGTATTACACTCTAGAAATTTTCGACTTTTTTTCGTACCAACAATTCAATTTGATGTGAATTTTAGAGAATAACGATTTAAAAATTCAAATAAAACTCGGTTGGCCCGGAAGCTTTGTCCGGGACGCCGGGACACGACTTCGTAATTCGGGCCATGTCTCGGATTTTTCGGGTTAGTTGGACATACAAAGATTAGTCATAGTCCTAGTCAAGAATTTTAGATGATATGCGCCAATAAAACCGCAGATTTAAATTATTTTGTGTAGCCTTTTTTAAAACTTATTTCTTTATCTTGTATAACTTATTAAAATAAAACATTAAGATATTTAAGCAATTATAAAATTAGTGTTTTACCAACGAATATATTTTTGGTTTATATTTACGAAGAAATATGTACATGTAGGTTTTAGACACTTACATATCACTATTATACGTGTGAAAAAATGAAAATAATTTTATGTCATTATTGACGAAACTAAAATGAAATCTATACATAATTGACCTACCAAAGCACGAAACCTTTAAATATTAAATTTAAATTGTTAGTAATGTTACCATTTATTACTGTTAATAATGTTATCCAAAAATGATAAAATTGTTGCTAATATGAGTGTATACTGACTATATATTGGCAAAATTACAGTGGTAATAACTTTTTCACGAGTACTCATAAGCCAAATTAATGTTTTAGTTAGAAATCTATACATAATTTACTTACCAAAGCACGAAACCTATAAATATTAAATTTAAATGGTTATTAATGTTACCATTTATATTAGTGTTGTTAGTATTATTCACAAATGATAAAAACAATTGCTAATGTGAGTGTATACTGACTATAATTGGCAAAAGTGCTGTTTTTATAACATTTACATAAGTACTAATAAGCGAAATAATTAATGTTTAGTCCCGGATAATGGCCCGATATCATCATCTTAAAAAGTTTACAAGCTAAAAGAATACCTACATTAGTGATTGTGTCTTTTTCGGTGACCTGTATTATTTCTTGTGGCATCTTAAAGTAATTACTATTTTAATGGGAAGAAGCCACAATAGAAGTTTATAAACGTTTTAATTTCCACTTCATAAATCTTGCACAAAATACTAACATTACTAAATTAAACAATTTTGGGTTTTTGGTTTATCTGACTCATTTATATTTACAATTCAGACATATACATTTCTAAAGTACATGACTTACATGAATTATTAAATTATGTATATGTTCCTTTAATATATAAGTGCCAAATTAGAAAATTGTGTTAAATTAGACTGTTTTACCAACGAATATATTTTTGGTTTATATTTACGAAGAGATATATTATGTAGACATTTACATCGCGTGAAAAAATGCAAATAATTTCATATCGAAACGTTCCAAAGAACGAAAAATAAAAATTAATAAATTGAAATGGTTTTAACAGTACCATTTATTACTGTTGTTACTGTTATTCACAAATGATAAAATGGATATTTTTTTTTATTTACTAATAATAGTCGCTTCAACCACCTGGGTCATTAGCGACATTAGTTTACATTAGTTACTACATTATATTAAATTATATAAAGATGTTTCTTTTAGAAATCTAATTAAGTTTTTAGTATTTAAATGTTCACCTAATACTGTTTTTAAGTCACTGGAAATATTGTTATTTTGTCTGTTAACTGTATATTTTCCACATTCTGTTAGGAGATGTTTAACAGTAATATTGACTTGACAGTAATCACACACTGGAATGTCTTCTTTACTTATTAGGTGCTTATGAGTAATATTGGTATGACCTAATCGAAGTCGAGAAATTTTGACTTGGTCAGCTCTTTTTAAGTTTACTAGGCGCCACGGTTTCACTGTCGATTTAATTTCTTTTAATTTAGATTCCGATAAGTTCCACTTATTTTGCCACGCACTAATCACTTTTTCTTTAACGAACTGTTTTATATCACTGCAGATAGTCTTTGACACTATTATAGCTTGATCATTTTTGGTAGCTTCTCTTGCTTGGAGGTCTGCGTTTTCATTACCTTGTATTCCCGTGTGAGATGGAACCCACATAAATTTGACTTCTGAACCAGATTCTTGTAAGGCAGCAAGTTCTTTCTTGACAAGTAAGGCTATAGGGTTCTTAGTATATAGTTGACCGATTGTTGTTAAGGAGTTTAGAGAATCTGTGATAATGACGGAAGAAGAATGGTTTGTACTTTTGATATGAATGAGGGCTTGTAATATTGCATATAATTCTGCTGTGTATATAGAAGTGGCTGGCAATAATTTAAATTGGGAAGAGGAATATGGAGTGACAAATGCTGCTCCTACGTCATTTGCAGATTTGGAGGCATCTGTATAAATGCAAAAGCTTTTCCCGTAAGTCTCGAGTTCCTTTAAAACATGACTGTCGGATTACAGTGGGTGATGTATCTGATTTGTTATATTGGAGTAGCGTCGTATTGATTTCGGGAATCATGATTAACCAGGGAGGTGGAGTTTTTACATTTGAAGGAAAGAGGTCAGAAATTTGGAGTTGTAGATCTTTTAAATTTCTTAAAATGGTTATTAATATGAGTATATACTGACAAAAGTGCAGTGTTTATAAGTTTTTAACAAGTATTCATAATCCAAATTTTTGTTGTGTTGTTTTTAGCAAGACAGCGACTAGACTAGGGACTAGACTAGGTATTCACACTACATAAGGCCTGATATAATCATCATTGAAAGTTTACAAGCTAAGAGATTACCTACGTTAGTGATTTTGTCTTAGGTGACCTGGTCTATCCTACAAGTCTAATGTGGATGTAAGACTCAACATGTTTGCATTAGTATTAGTAAATATAATGATTCACTTTAAAGTATATACTGTTAATGGAATAGAATTATTCCTACAATAGATCATCTCGTGGGAATATGTCTACATGAAAAGGTACACTTTAGGCCATTTTCTGTATATCGTATGGTTAGAAGTCATCACCAATTCTTAACTTATTTATGTCCTTATCTAGTTATCTAACCATTAAGTTGTTAAGTATTTTCGCAGTCTATAATATCCTATTCTGCATTTCTCCCACCAAGGAATGCACCCAGCATCACCTCATTACCCTCTGTATGAGATAGTGCAGTGCCGTTCTGTATACGCATACTATCTTTAATATATCGGAGTTTTAATTAATACACCATCCCTAAACTGTTCGTCTAGCAGTTTTTCTAAAGTATTCAATACAGTTGATGTCAGACTTTTTGGTTTCAGGAACCTAGCTTTTTGCTGTCAGTTTTTATTAGTTTTTGATATAAAGTCTACTCTTTATCGAGCCATCATACTTTTAGCATATGCCCTAGTCTTAAGCTGCCCTGTAGGGTCATTCTTTTTCTTGTAGTGCCTATCCGTTTCGGAGGTTGGCGACTATCATGGCAATCTTTATTCTGCAAACTGCTGCTCTAAAAAGATTTACAAAAACTTTATGTATACAATGTCGTGTCCGTTCTATAGAAGTATTGAATAAAGTTTAACCGGATTCGTTAATTTACATGGCTTAAAGTAGTTTATCGCCCATTTGATTTTGTCCTAATCCATCTTTTGCCACATGTTAGTTTTACCTAGAATCAATGAGAAGTATTGGATAAATCTTATCTAGACCCGTTGATTAATTAAATTAAATTCCTATTTAATTTTGTCCTGATCTACTTTTCCATTTGATACATGATAATTTTTCTTAGAAGTTACGGTCCCTAATTGCTCATTATACTGTTTTGTGTCTAGTTAAGTGAAGCTTAACTCTTAAGTAAAACTCTAAAGTTTCTTTAGAGTTTATTTAGCATTTAGTATAATTCAAGAGTGTTCTTGGAGAAAACTGTATGGAACATTCAATATTTCTAGAGGCTGTTCTATTTGCTCGCAATGTCTTCTTCACAATTCTATTTTTGTCCTTAGTTCCGTATTATTGTGTCAGAGCTGCAATATTTGGCAGAGCAAACTTATCTATTTTTAAAATTAAATTTTCGTTTGACTTCTGTCCTTTGATTTGTCAGGTTATTATTCAACCGGGGGGTGTTTTTTCTATTTGAAATCCTTATTATCTCCGGACAATTGTCTTCAAAAGCTGACGTTACAAACTCTTAAAGGTGTTAGCTATGTCTAAGATTATTGTATGCCATTGTATATTAGTTTTTATGTTCTAGCCACTTGAGTCGTGGTCACTATTTTATGAATTACTTCCTGTCTTTGTGAAGTTACAAAAGTTGGTTCGTTTCCTACATTTAGTATAATCTAATCTTACCGCATCAAAAAACTGTAATAACGACTCATTTTGTAGTAATGAATCACAGTCGATGAATCGTTACAATTCATTGATTCTGCAATATCTCACCAGTTGTTAAGTCTTCCTTGGTGGTGTATCCGAAAATTATCTTCTTTATACCTCTTTTCCTTATGAGTTTAATCTTTATTGTCGTTCCACATTTCGCGTCACAGAAGTGCATGTAACTAATTAGTAACAAAAGTGACTAATCTTCCATTGGAGAAATATTTAATGCATAGCCTTCTCAATAATTACTTTTGTAATTTTTTCTCACTTTGTCAAAAAAATCATACTATCCTAATTAGTATTTTTGGTTTCAACAAACCTAGTAAATAATCTAAAGTATAAAAAATAAATAATTTATCCTTTAAGCAGCAAATACAATTACACAATGTTATTTTAGTACATAAACTCCAATTATCGTAAAATGGAATTTTTAAATTTTGTGTGAAAACATTATTTTAAAAGTGTTTCTAAACAATATTTTGATGTGTATTGCCGTAAAAATAAACAAACTGACATCGACAAGAATCATACGATCCACGAAAGAGTGATTACGTCCATCGCAGACGTAAAAATCGGTTTGATTATGGTATCAGACGATTCTCTAAACTAGTTAAAGAGTTTAAAGATAATGCCTTGTTTATGTTTTATTTTCAACTAGATAAGAACCCAATCGCATATAAAACAGCTTCAGACGGTTTATTTCGGCTATTATCAATATTTACCGACTAAACATCAGTCGGCAAGTGCAGTTGGGTTAAGATTAGTGAGGTTAAAATCGTAAAGTGAGGTTAACATGAAGATGTTTCACGAAAATGAAACGTTGCGCGATGATGATGACGAACAACCAAAGGAGATTTGTAGGAACTGCTTTATGGAGAGGAATTGCAACCAGATATTTATTAAAGGACCTGCTCTTACAAAAGAAATATTGGAAAAGGTCAATGCTGAGATAGTGCCAAAGAAAACTTATATTTTTGGTTATGAGATGAAGACTAAGAGAGTATTAC